AAATCTTGTTTATAAATCTTGCACGTAGGGGGGGGGGGGGGCGAGGTGGCTGTTTGGCAGTGGTCCATGGGCCAGGTCAGTAAACGCTGGTATGGCACCTAACACTTGAACGCCACACCGAGTTCTTCACACAAACTCTTCCACGGATTAATTCGCTTGATAAACCCACTCGCTTCAACCCGAGGAATCCGATGAGCTATGAAGCTCGTTTCCACAGATGTAACAACTTCTTTCGCACCGTACGTAGCCCAACCGCGGCTGATGGGAGGTGCGGCGTGCGAGGGGGAAGGACAACGAACTCCACACGCCAACAACGAGCAGAAGTTGTGTAAGACGTGAGTTCAGAATAACTCAAACCACCATGAGTTTGGACTCGCGAGCGTGATGCCGACTAGGGCTTAACGATTTGGGGAAAATATCTAATTGCAATTTTTCTGACAAGATATTGTGATTTAATTTGCGATAAATATGTTTTAAGTCAAGCTTCACTGTGCAATAGATGTAAAACATGTGATGGAGCATTATTACCACATGGTCCCATCAACATGAACTGCTCTATATATTCTAATGCAAGGATGAGAACTTAAAATATATTAATTGCTTCCAACGTGTATTTATTCAAATGTTTTCATTGAAATATAACACTCAAACATAGAACAATTGTTAAGATAAATAAAAAAAGTCGTAATAATAAAAAAAACAATTCCAGTAAGAAAGTAATAGGACTTTTCAAATCGCAGCCTTTGCGATTTGCTAATCGCATTGTTTCAAATTGCGATTAATCGATTTGAAATCGATTAATCGTTCAGCCCGAATGCCAACTCCTCGGGCGGTGACCAGGGCCGCATCAAGGCGTGGGGGCTTGAGGGGCTTCAGCCCAGGGGGGCCTTCGCCAGCTGGAGGGCCTCCAGAGATTAAGTGAAGAGTTATTTCATTCGTGAACGCTGAATTGTATTTGTTGTTAGGCTTGTAAAAGTAAATGAGACTTTTCTTTAACTTTGTTTTCCTTTTGAAAATATTACTGGGGGGCTCACAGTACCTGTAGCCCAGGGGGCCTACACAACCTTAATCCTGCCCTAGCGGTGACCCGACACACCGCACGTGGATCTGGGTTCATGACCGGATTTAATTCAGCCATCAGCCACGGTCAATCCACTGCTGGATGAAGGCCTCCCCCCCCCCCCATCACCTAACACCACCTTGCATCCAGCGATGCGAATCGAATCTCAGCCAGCGCCAAATGCAGCGCTCCGTCTCCAAGGTTCCATGCCGCGCGTGTACGAATCTCAATGTGTGTGTGCGCATTGGGGAGGCTATATCGTCCAGCAGTGGATAATACATGGCGGGTGGTGGTGATGTTACATATTGTGTGATTGTACCCTTTGTACGTTGTTCCGAAACAACAATTCACCAGAAAACTCCAGCGAAGTGTGTGTATGTGTGTATATACTTGCGTTGAATGTTACACATTTGCCATTGCGGTATTAACTTGAATTTTTTAAATAATAACGTGATGAAAACATACCAATGAACATACAAAACGTCGTTTAAGAGTTGGCGAACTATTATAAAAGCAAGGAATATGGAGCCCGTAAATCCATGAAACTAAAACTAAACTTTTTATTTTGCCAGCTAAGGCCCACTGAGCTGCTTTGGCGCTTTTTTTTCAGTAGCGACTTGGCCACAAATGCATACACAACGAAGTCGCCGATTATTATCATCATCACGTGGAAATGCAGAGCAGTAATCAAATATTCTCGAACGCGTGATGCTGCTTCTAAACGTGGGAAGGAAAAACTCGAAAATCCATAGACAAATCCATGCGGCCACGGGGAGAGAGAGAGAAAGACACGCAAACTGAAAATATACAGCAGCAGCGTCAGGGTCGGGATCGAACCCACGACCCTCCTGTACACCAGGCGAGGTAGTTAACATCTCCTAGACACCGTGATGATGATGAGAGAGACACACAAACTCCAAATACATAGCAGGCGTCAGGGTCGGGATCGAACCCACGACCTACTGTGCACCAGGCGAGGTAGTTAACATCTCCGAGCCACCGAGATGACGATGAGAGAGACACACACAAACTTAAAATATACAGCAGTAGGCGTCAGGGTCGGGATTGAACCCACGACCTCCTGTACACCAGGCGAGGTAGTTAACATCTCCTAGCCACCGTGATGATGATGAGAGAGAGACACACAAACTCCAAATACAGAGCAGGCGTCATGGTCGGGATCGAACCCACGACCTCCTGTACACCAGGCGAGGTAGTTAACATCTCCTAGCCACCGTGATGATGATGAGAGAGAGACACACAAACTCCAAATACAGAGCAGGCGTCATGGTCGGGATCGAACCCACGACCTCCTGTACACCAGGCGAGGTAGTTAACATCTCCTAGCCACCGTGATGATGATGAGAGAGAGACACGCAAACTCCATATATACAGCAGTAGGCGTCAGGGTCGGGATCGAACCCACGACCTCCTGTACACTAGGCGAGGTAGTTAACATCTCCTAGCCACCGTGATTATGATGAGACACAAACTCCAAATATACAGCAGTAGGCGTCAGGGTCGGGATCGAACCCACGACCTCCTGTACACCAGGCGATGTAGTTAACATCTCCTAGACACCGCCGCGCCCCTGAACATGGCGGGGATGGTGAAAGATGTAAAAAGGGCTTCTTCGTGGGGGGGGGGCCTTCATCCAGCAGTAGGGTCGATCGCGGCTGCCACTGGTGAAATAAATCAACTCCACTGCTGGATGATGAAAATCTCTCGAAAAACCGTCGAGAATATCCTCCCGGGGTCGCGAGTTCGGAACGAACGGTGGTCAGCATCAGCGGCGATCGACGTTTCACGCCCGACACCTTACGAGCGTGGAAGGGGGGGGGGGGGCTGAGAAAAGTTATGGTCCAACGTCATTCTTCAGGGCCTCCATCCAGCAGCGGATTGAGCAAGGGCCGCCGTTATATCGTACTGCGCAGTAACATTGCCATTTGTTATGCGTCTTGAAGGTGCCTTTGTGTGGTGCTGGCCACCCACACACTTCCCGGCCTTCATAGGTGCTGCTACTCGTTAACAGCACTTGCCCCCCAAGTTTCTTAAGGCTATACTGTTGGGGGGTGTGGGTCTTTGTCTTTGTTTTGTGCGTACCGGGGGGAGCGGTGGTGCAGCGGTTAGCGCGCTACGCTGCGAAACCCGGCGACCCGAGTTCGATTCCCGCTCACCACGGCCAACACCGGTGACGATTATCCGAACCGGTCCCGGGACTCTCCCCTAGGTCGACTCGGCCTCAAATTAGCGACCCGGTGTAGCGGTGTGTAGTTAAATGTAACCCACTAAGGGAGACAAAGGCGGCCGGGCGTGGTGCTGGCCACCTCCTCGTGGCTGCTAACTCGCTACAAACAGCACCCGGCCACAACAATCTCTTTATAGGCTACAGAGAGGGGAGTCTTACTTTGTAGAGTACACACAGCGCGTGTACAACACATAACACGAAAACAGATCCACTGCTGGATGAACGCCGTGGGAAATACCCCGTCAGTTCGCTCCATCTCCTCCCTCCACCACCACCTCCTCCTCTGGCTTTTCTCGCCAAACCCCAACACAACCACGTAGGTATAAAAATGTTTTAATATTGTATTTTCCACCTACGTGACTTAATCAAAGAGTGATGGATTTCTGCAATCACGAAAGCTTCAAATCAAGACCCAACACACAACCTTTGACCCAACCGGCTCCACACCTCTCATCCCTTGCGGTAACTTTATTGCGTTTCATTTCGACTCTCATCGAGCAGTGGATAGAGACATTGGCGAACGAAGGTGGTGGTGGTGATGTTGATGGTGTTGATGGTGGCGGTGTTTACCCTGTGGGGAGCGGTGGTGCAGCGGTTAGCGCCACGAAACGTAGCTGAACCGCATGGTTCGATTCCCGCTCAGGTCCTGAGCCTCCCCTAGGTCGACTGGGCCTCGAATAAGTAGCTGATCTTTACGTGGTGCTGGCCACCCTTCTTTGTGTGCTGTGATGGCCTTTAGAGGCGATTAATTTACAGCACTTCCCAAAAGTATGTTAAGGCTATAGGGGAGATCTTTGTCTTTGTGTGCAGTAAACTTCGTCAAATCTCGACTTGAAAGCTTTGGTGACTGCTAGGAATTTAATATTCTTTGGGGGTGGGGTAAAGTAAAATTATAATAAAAAAATAATCAGCGAAAAACTACTTTCGATCGAAACGCCGTAAGTTTTTTGTTTATTTTATTTTTCATTAATTTGAAACCTATCTCCGTGACTTTATCGAAAGACCCAAAAGTTCATCTTTGTTTATTGTCACTTCCCGTAGTAGATGTAAAACATTCATGGTTGTGTGTTGTTGTGTGTTGTTGTTCTGTGTTGTGTTGTTGTGGTGTTGTTGTGTTGTGTGTGTTGTGTGTTGTTGTGGTGTTGTGTTGTTGGGTTGTGTTGTTGGGTTGTGTTGTTGGGTTGTGTGTTGTTGTTCTGTGTTTTTGTTGTTCTGTGTTGTTGTTCTGTGTTGTTGTTCTGTGTTGTTGTGTGTTGTTGTTGTGTGTTGTTGTTGTGTTGTTGGGTTGTGTTGTTGGGTTGTGTTGTTGTTGTTCTGTGTTTTTGTTGTTCTGTGTTGTTGTTGTTCTGTGTTGTTGTTGTTCTGTGTTGTTGTTGTGTGTTGTTGTTGTGTGTTGTTGTTGTGTGTTGTTGTTGTGTGTTGTTGTTGTGTGTTGTTGTTGTGTTGTTGGGTTGTGTTGTTGGGTTGTGTTGTTGGGTTGTGTGTTGTTGTTCTGTGTTGTTGTTCTGTGTTGTTGTTGTTGGGTTGTTGTGGTGTTGGGTTGTGTGTTGTTATTCTGTGTTGTTGTGTGTGTTGTTGTGTGTTGTTGTGGTGTTGGGTTGTGTGTTGTTGTTCTGTGTTGTTGTTGTTCTGTGTTGTGTGGTGTTGTTGTTGTGTGGTGTTGTTGTTGTGTGGTGTTGTTGTTGTTCGTACCTTTGCCAGAAGATCCCACGACGATCACCAGGAGGGCGAACAGGGACAGAAGCTGCTCCATTTGTGGAGGGAGGGGTTTTGTTGTTGTTGTTGTTGTGTTAAACAAAATAAAGCGTTGATCAACTCAACAACAAAAGACTTTCCGAGACTTTCTTTCTTATTCTAGTTCTCTCTCTGTCTCAAGTCTTGAAGAAAAGTCCGCGCTAACGATTACGTGTAAAGTTACAAACGCACTCCCCCGAGTGTAATAAACTATAATACACCAATCCCCTCCTCACGTCTTCTATGCCGTTTAAGCCTACTTTTACACACACACACAAACAAATTAAAATGTTGTATTCCTCTTCATAAAATTGTATCTTCTTACATTTGTGTCGATTTCCCCGCGCGCCTCCCCCCCCACCCCTCAGATTATTGTAACATTTTAGTTAAGCGCCGGAAGAATTAAAAATGATTTTTTTTATTAAAAAAAGGTTAACATTAAAAAAAAGTCCAGTGGACCGGACTCTCTTCCCCTGTTCCCCCCCCCTCCCCGCCCCAAGTTATTGTCACCAAACAAACCCTCAAAAATAAATAAAACACCACCACCACCACCGCCGCCGCCACCTCCCCCGTCAACTTCTGAGACGATTTCTTTGCAAAGTCTTCTCCAAATAGAAAACAAAAACCCGTTGAAGAAACGCCCTCGCCCTCACGAAGTTTGCCGATGAGATTAACGTCGACGAAACATTTGTTAAATATAAAACAACTTAGCAACGAGAGAGAGAGAGGAGAGAGGAGAGAGCGCGCGAAACTCTCCTCACGTTGCGCTCCAACCTCCCTTGCGACTAACACTGAGGAGGGGAGCGGCGGACTAAATCAGTTTTATCAACCCACAGCCGCCACCCGATTGGTCGAACGCCCTCATGAATATTCATACGCTGCTTCGGAATTCATTAGAAACGGGGTGGGTTGCTGAGATTTTGAGCGCCCGCCGATTGGTCGACACTCCTTGCGGTGGGGGTGGCGGAGGGGGGGGGGAGAAGGGTGGCTCATGAATATTCATCAGCAACGGTGAGTTTTTTGTTCATCGTGGTTGGCCTCACGAGGCTCGTCACTATTCATGTTTAAGGGATTTTCATTGGTTAAACGTCCTCATGAATATGCTTAATAATTAATGACCAGAGGTGGGGGTGGGGGGGGTTGCTGAGATTTTGAACGCCCGCTGATTGGTCGACACTCCTCGCGGGGGGGGGGGGAGATGGTTGGCTCATGAATATTAATCAGGCACGGTGAGTGTTTCATCGTCGATGGCCTCACGAGGCTCGTAACGATTAATGTTTAAAGGCCTTTCATTGGTCAAACACCCTCATGAATATGAATATCTGCTTAATCATTCATGAAAAAGGGAGTGGGGATAGGGGGGGGGGTGCTGAGATTTTGACCGCCGCTGATTGGTCGGACGCTCCTCGGCGGTGGGGGTTGTGGGAGGGGCGAGATCTGTGGCTCATGAATATTAATCATCTGCAGTGATTTTTTTTGTGATTGTATCACGACCGCTGTTGCTATTGTTGTGGTAATTCGTGAACATTCATTTGAGAAGTTGATTTGAGGGCGTTCCTATTGGTCAATTGTCCTCATTAATAATAATATTATTATTATCGGTAATAATAAGAAAAAAAAGTGATGAAAAATATCACGTTTCGATCGCAAAACAAACCATAGAATATGAATTCCTGCAGTCCTTGTAGTCACGAAAGTTTTCAGTTAAAAAAATAATAATAAAAATATTTTTTTTGCTCCGTGTGAGTTGACTGGGGAGCGGTGGTGCAGCGGTTAGCGCGCTGCGCTGCGCTACGAACCCGGCAGACCCGGGTTCGATTCCCGCTCACGGCCACCAACACCCACAGTGACGCTTATCTGAACTGGTCCTGGTGCCTCCCCTAGGTTGACTCAGCCTCAAATGAGTACCTGATGCGGCGTGTAGAAAACATCGCCACCGGGGAGACAAAGGCGGCCGGGCGTGGTGCTGGCCACCCACCCCCTCGTGTACAGTTCCGGCCTTCAAAGGTGCCACTCGCTAACAGCACTTGCCCTTACAGTCTGTTAAGGCTATACGGGGGATCTTTGCGTTTCTCAAAAGTGCACCTAGTCTGGCGCAAGCGCTCTTTAGTCCCACCATCATGATCAAGCCAGAGGCCCAGCGGCCACAAAACGCCAAACGGCCAGCAACTTCCAGCACTAATGAAAGTTGAGTTAATACGTTCCTTTGAAGTGAGCAAGCTTACTGTTCTAGATTTGAAGCTTTCGTGACTGCAAGGATCCATACTCTTTGGTTCTTTCGGTAAAGTCACGTAGGTGAAAAAATAAATATATTTTTTTAGAAATAATTAAATCACTGATTTATTAATTTCAATTTTTTATTTTATTTTTTTCTATATTTTTTTTCACCTACGTGACTTTACCGAAAGACCCAAAGGGTGAAGCTTATTGTTCTTCATAATAAAGGTTTTTGGGTTAGATCGCGTTTATTTATAAATGTGTCGTAACCCTCCACCACCCGACACGGCCAATCAGCAAAAAAAGTGTCACGTTGACAAAAGACAAATAATTCACTACTTCAGCCCACCGGTGTGTTGAAGAGTTAATCCCCATTTACAGTTTGAGTACGACGTTTCGCTGGTAAATAGATCCAGCATCATCAAGCAATTCGCCAGAATGGTAAAGCCCTCGCTTGCTCCCGGTTTTTATATAGAGCAGCAGGGTGACGTCATCACTTAACTCATATCAGGTGCATTGATTAGAGGCGGAGGGGGGGTATTGTAATTATATAATCGATTAGTAATCAGTCATTGGTTATGATTAGTAATGAGTTGTAGATTAGTAATTCTTTAAATGTAATGTGTATTATTTAATAATACGCTTCCAGGCCGCACTAAGCCGGTAGCTGTCAGAGCGATTAAAGTTATTTTTGTTCCTCTCAATTTCAATGGATTCTCTAATTAGTCTTTGCCAGTAATAATTCGTTTTACACACCACTGCAACATTGTCAAAATCAATTGAGTGTCCTTGTTGACAAGCATGTTCTGCCACTGCCGACAGTTGTGTTTGAGATAATTTAATATTTCTCTGATGTTCTTTTAGTCTTACACTGATGTTACGTCCCGTCTGCCCAATGTAGCAGCTGCCACATGAACAATTAATCCGATATACACCTTCTGTTGATAGTTCAGGTAATGCATCTTTAGTGCAAGATACTAGTTTTTGAATTTTGTGTACTGTACCAAATCTTACTGTAATGTTTTGCTTTTGCAGAACACGGGCTAATTTGTCAGTTACTCCTGAGATATATGGAATTTTTATTGTTTTAACAATCCGGTCGCTTTCAGTAGTATTGCTTTGCGATCGTGATTTGGCATTCAGTGCTCTGTTAATTTGAGCATTATTGTAGCCATTCTGTCGTAGTGCGTCTTTAACGTGTTTAATCTCTCTCACTAGACTCTCACCATCTGACACTGTTTTCGCCCGATGTACGAGCGTCTTGATAAGAGAGGGTGGTGGAGGGTTACGACACATTTATAAATAAATGCGATCTAACCCAAAAACCTTTATTATGAATAATATTGGTCGCGAAAGCCTACGTGTTAAACTTATTGTTCTTGCCAAAGGTGAACTTGTCCAACGGTACGACACGGGAGGGAATCCCAGAGTCAATCAGTGCTGGAGAAGACGCTGTAAGACTTGCCACGATACACGGTTACATGTGGGCGCCGAGGTGGCTAGCAGATGTTAACTACCTCGCGAGGTGTGCAGGAGGTCGTAGGTTCCATCCATACCCTGACGCCTGCTGTATATTTGGAGTTTGCGGTGTATCTCTCTCATCATCATCATCACGGTGGCTAGGAGATGTTAACTACTTCGCCAGGTATGCAGGAGGTAGTGGGTTCCATCCATACCCTGACGCCTGCTGTATATTTTGAGTTTGCGGGGTATCTCTCTCATCATCATCACAGTGGCTAGGAGATGTTATCTACCTCGCCAGGTATGCAGGAGGTTGTGGGTTCCATTCCTACCCTGACGTCTGCTGCTGTATATTTGGAGTTTGCGGTGTATATCTCTCATTATCATCATCATCATCACGGTGGCTAGGAGATGTTAACTACCTCGCCAGGTATGCAGAAGGTCGTGGGTTCCATCCATACCCTGACGCCTGCTGCTATATATTTGGAGTTTGCGGTGTATATCTCTCATCATCATCATCACGGTAGCTCGGAGATGTTAACTACCTCGCTAGGTATGCAGGAGGTCGTGGGTTGCATCCATACCCTGACGCCTACTGTATATTTGGAGTTTGCGGTGTATCTCTCTCATCATCATCATCATCACGGTGGCTAGGAGATGTTAACTACCTCGCCAGGTATGCAGGAGGTCGTGGGTTCCATCCATACCCTGACGCCTGCTGTATATTTGGAGTTTGCGGTGTATCTCTCTCATCATCATCATCACGGTGGCTATGAGATGTTGACAACCTCGCCTGGTGTACAGGAGGTCGTGGGTTCCATCCGTACCCTGACGCCTGCTGTTGTATATTTTGAGTTTGCGTGTCTCTCTCTCATCATCATCACGGTGGATAGGAGATGTTAACTACCTCGCGTGGTATACAGGAGGTCATAGGTTCGATCCCGACCCTGACGCCTGCTGCTGAATATTTGGAGTTTGCGTCTCTCTCTCTCATCATCATCACGGTGGCTAGGAGATGTTAACTACCTCGCCTGGTGTACAGGAGGTCGTGGGTTCCATCCCTACCCTGACGCCTGTTGTATATTTGGAGTTTGCGTGTCTCTCTCTCTCATCATCATCACGGTGGCTGGGAGATGTTAGCTACCTCGCCAGGTATGCAGGAGGTCGTGGGTTCCATGCCTACCCCTGACACCTGCTGTATATGTGGAGTTTGCGTGTCTCTCTCTCTCTCTCTCATCATCATCACGGTGGCTAGGAGATGTTAACTACCTCGCCAGGTATGCAGAAGGTCCTGGGTTCGATCCATACCCTGACGCCTGCTGTATATTTGGAGTTTGCGTGTCTCTCTCTCATCATCATCACGGTGGCTGGGAGATGTTAACTACCTCGCCCGGTATACAGGAGGTTGTGGGTTCGATCCCGACCCTGACGCCTGCTGCATATTTGGAGTTGGCGTGTCTCTCTCTCATCATCATCATCACGGTGGCTAGGAGATGTTAACTACCTCGCATGGTATACAGGAGGTCGTGGGTTCAATCCCTTCCCTGACGCCTGCTGTATATTTGGAGTTTACGTGTCTCTCTCTCCCCGTGGTCGCGTATATTTTTCTCCGGGTCCTCCCGTTTTTTCCCCTGCACATTTAGAATCAACGTCACTACGCGTTTAGAGACATTTAGCTGCTACGAGAGATTTCCACATGACGATGACGATATCAGCGACCTCGTTGAGACTATAATTTGTTGATAGCCAGGTCCGCTTCTGAAAAAAATAGCTACCGAGCTCAGTGGGCCTTACCTGGTAAAATAGAAAATAGCTTTAAATAGTCGTTAGTTTCATTCCACATTTAGAATAAACAGCACGCGTTCAGAGCATGTTGCTGCTGCTATACATTTACACGGTGATGATGATGAGCTGTCATTTGTGTGGCCAGCTCGCTTCTGAAAAAGAGCTTACATAGTTGGGGCCTTACCTGGTAAACATGAAAAAAAATACTTTTTTTCTCTTAGTTTTTTTGCACAAATAAAATTAACAATCGCCACGTAAACCTACAAAAGATAAAAAAAACTTACAACGGTTGTTGATGACCCCCCCCCCCCCCCCCCCCCACTTAAGTGGAGTAAGACGGTTTTTTTTGTCA